GGGGGTGTGTGTCGGGGGTGTGTGTCGGGGGTGTGTGTCGGGGGGGGGCTGCTTTCATGTAGCGGGGCAGCGTTTTCTGACGGAGTTCGGGTGTTGGCATTGTGCTTTGTGGAACCGGTCCTGCGTTGGAACAGTTTGTTGGGAAACATCTGTTTCAACGGGGCCAAGAGCGAAAAGTCTTTGCGGATGCGGCGTTGCCCTAAGTACGGGCATTTGCGGACCTCTGCTAGAGAGTGGCCGCAGGCTATGTTCGAGCTGGCCCTTACTTTAAATTTGTGGGTCCCTATCATGTATACCGCCGGTTGTATCCGCAGAGCTCGCGGGCCCATATGGCTCAAGCTTCTTATTGAGACATGCATAGAGCCAAGGAAAACCAGCATAAACCGCTCTGGCAGTGAGAATGTGGTGAGCTTGTAATATCTGGTGGAACGGATCTACGAATCTAGGGTGAACTCTGGATAGAGGTTGGAAGTGAAGGCAGGAAGCGGCACTAGTAATGCTGTGACGTGCATTTACTCTTGGCGTATGTGATGGGTTTCTTGGGCTGCAAACGATTGGCGCCTGGACTCGCATGAACCTCTCTCGTGCCGCTGCTCGGATGGTTTAGCATGCTTACGTTTTCAGTGTATGAGTCCTGTAGCAACCTCAGCACTTTCCAGCCTCCATAGCACAAGCAATGATACCATTTGCCTCTCTGTTTTCACCTGCACCAACATTGAATCCTAAATGCGCAGGACTCAGCATATCCAAATCCCAGGTTGCTTGCGCATCATGGCTTCTGCTTGCCTTTCTGTTTTGGCCCATGAGCTGGATGGGATCAATCTTGAGGCAAATTCGACTGGGCACTCTGGCAATGATACTAACATAACACATAAAGACAAAAATAGATTGTTAGTCTAGTATAATATAGTAGTTATAGCGATTATCGATCTTAGTTCAAGGTTTCTGGATGTAAGATTTGAGGTTTGACGATGCAGGAGGGGACTAAATAGTGGTAAGTGTTGCGGCACCCATAATGGGTTGCAGGCCGTCCTTTGGGGAGAAGCACTTATAGCCTGGGCATACAGCTTTGGTAACTCCAGTGGAGTTTGGACGGAAGATGCAGGCTGATGCCTTCGGCAACACAGAGCCCCAATCTTGTAAGGAATGGGCAGTATATATATATATATAGAGTAGCGGGACCCTTTGGGCATCTCCAACCCCAACCCGTGAACACACTATCCGTGTTTAGAGCTGAGCGGTCGATGTACCCAGGCGATTTGCGAAATGTTCCAGCCGCTGACAACCTTCGAAGGCATACCACCAGCCCAACCGGGCATAATGTTGCATGCTTGATCACTGACAGAACCCATGCAGGCGGGGTCAGCAGAATGGGAAATGTGACTGCCCTAGCTGATCTCTTTGTGTGCGCCGATCCGGAAGATCATGGCACGATGAGATTTGCAAACTTCTCCAACCTGGTGTCCTATGGAACATCAGATGAGGATGGCAGCTACCCGGTAGGTCTGAAAGGAGTTGATAGCACACTGGCAAAATGGTGGCGTTTGCAGCGGTGTTGGAAGCGTGTACAAGACTTCGAGGAACACCACGGGTTCAGATATAGCTTCTACATGAAAACGCAAACCGGCTGTGCATTATACCATGCGTGCTATCCATGCCTGGGCACATACCAGGCCGGTCTTCACAAAGCCATGTCAATTTACAAGACTGCTCACACGTCATGTCACAAGAAGTAGCAGTCCCTGAAGTTATATCATCAGCTTCTGTGTGCCACAATCCGTAGGCGGCACGCGACAAGTATGGCGCCGAGTTGGACAAGGTCTTCTTTGCCAACAGTGACCACGTCTTTGGCGGCTCGCGTCCAGGATTCGAACGGGCGGCGACGATGATGTCCAGGATTGAGAGTGATTACTTCCGCAAGACGCTGACCACGTACTATCCGTTAGATTGGGACTTGGTGCTGCGTTCAGACTGGCATGGGCAGTTGCACTGGCCGGGCATTGTCTTCCCACGTGACGTGCTAGATCCTGAGTGCCTTACCAGAACAGACCTGCAGCATAACGAAGGCCTATGCACGTCGGCAGGTTGGTGCAGGTCCATGCAGGTTCTCATGGCTCAGAGTCGCGTTGGGGTGGTTTGAATTGCACTCATATGCGGACGATAAGGCAGTGCTTCTGGTATTGCATTGCTTCAGTCCAGGGCATTGGTTGCTGAAAAACCTCGGTAATTTCGTCAAGACATGCAGGTTAAGGTTTGGAATTCGGGATTCCTCTCCAAATCTAATTTGCCTGGGCCGTTTGCATGTTGAGCAAACTCCCCACCTTGAACCCCTACATGTGATGGGCTGCCGTGCTCGCCATCTTCTCCTTGGTTGCGAGGTTGGGCACCGTCAAAGGCATCCTGTGCCCTGAATGACAACCTCCCCCCTTAGATCTGCCTAGTGGGCACCCACTGATCTCTCCTCGGCATCTCAATTAAGTCTCGGCGCCAAAAGTGCACAGGTCTTGTGTTGAAGGCCCAAAACCATAAGCGGTCTGAGTGGCTAGGCTCCTGGAAGATTTTTTCCGCTGCTTAAAACGGAGAATGTAGTAGCTCTCCCAGCAGCGTTGTGAGGAGATATTGTTGAGGTAGCACCTAGTGAGTTTAGAAGCTCTGGAATTCCCTATCGAACATGACGAGGTCCTCGTGAAGTGCTGCCCTCCTTTCTCTAGGTACTTTCATCCGAAACCGAAATGGCTAACCCTACTGTCAGGGCAATCACCACACCCTTACTCCGCAAGGGATAGAAGATGCATTCTGTAACCCGGAAGCAGACCCCCAAGCCTCGCAAGAGTGCACACTCCTCATATTATGATCTCTACAGACTTGATGGTCCTTCCTTGCTGAGGCATTGCTGCAGTCAGCAGGATCTGCAGAAGAAGCTGGCGCAATTGAAAGAGTTTGATAAGAATGGCACGCACGTGGATGGCAAAGTGTGCAACTTGAAGGGGCAGTGTTCAAAGGGGCGGAATGGTACGCATGAGGGGCTCACCTCTTACAGGTTCGCTCCGGACAAAATGCCGTTCCATTCTGAGGTATCTTTCCTCCTTGACATGCTGCGAGGTGGAATCGAGATGCATGAACTTGCCGGGTTATCCGAGAACCTGACTCGTGCTGAGCACAATCGCGTGGGTTTGCACCCAGGCCGAAGCCCGTCCGGACACAAAGTCGCATGCATCTCTGGCGATAATGGAAACAATACGTGTTTTCTTTTGTCGGTAACCCGAATTAGCTCCTATCAACATCGTTCAAGATGCTCAGTTTAGGTATAATTTCTGGCAAAATTCGAGGCAGCGACCGCAAAACTTTCGATGACAAAGCCAAGGCTCAAATGAAGGCGGTTACAGCAGGCGCAGATCTCTTTATATGTGCTGACCAGGAGGACACCGCCGAGCCCCGAGCCTGAAACCCCAAGATCCCTAGACTCGGCGGCCCATCTAGCCCCCGATCATAACTGTCAGGCTGTAACTCTCTAACGTGGTTGTGACCCAGCTGATGTACTTCAGTGGCGTATGATGGGTACAGTTTTATTTGCCAGATGGGTACAAAAGCCTTGCCTCGGTCGGCCTTAGGTGCGGTAAGCCCGAGGCGTAAAGTTCCCCGAAATTCGTGGTCCTGGAGACTGTAATGTAGTAATCATACTATATAACGTCGCATAGCCGTGTATGGCCTCTCCGAGCCCTAAAGTCTTTGTAGATGGGGCCCTGGCTAAAGCATGATCTTCATAGGGGTTGATAGGAACTATGGTAACTATCCAAAGCAAGTGACAAGGAACTTCCTCAATTGCTTTAGGGCAGCAGGAAGCAATCCTGGGACCACATAACCTGATCAAGAGGACCGCATTGAGGAGCATTTTCGGAACTTTACCAACCTCGTGCGATACAGGACGTGGACATGGACTTGGAACTTAGTCACGCTAGAGGGGGAATAGCAATCGCGAGTATACAGGTGTGTTGGTTTCAACGTTGTGACGAGATCCTATACCGCTTAATGGAATTCAGGACGGCGGAGGATGACGGTGGGTACAAGGCAGGTTGTCTAAGCAAGGATCCCCTGAACAAGGTGTCGTTTCGAGTTTGACGGATAATAGAACAGCGCTTTGGGATCAAGCAGTATAGTATCATTCTAGAGGGACAATATGGGGATCATATTGTTGAAGATTTAGGCCTCTTCAGTACGGTTGAGGCTGCTGAGGATATTGAATTTAGGGTGTAGCGCATGAGGGAGTGTTCCAAGTATCCCAAATCGACGCCATATGGTACAATCCCTAATTGAGAAAGACCCCCCCCCCAAAAAAAAAAAAAAAAAAAA